GCTCTGACCCCGATGGGGCATTAAAGTCCCAAGGAGGAGTATGCAAGAGCTATTGCGTCAACTATCCAATGGGATAGTCTTTGCTTTGTGTCCGGAAGCCCCTTGGTGCGGCCACCAACGCATACAAAGAGCTGCTCCAACTGCCTAAAGGAGGCGGAGCGGTCAATGTAGATTTTTAATGCCCTGACAGGACAGAGCAGATTTAGCTCCTGGTCCTCCTGCAAGGGGGGAGCGCAGACAGTGTGATTACCTGTGCTCTGAATGGAGTAGAGAGCACCTTACGTAACCATGGTACATAACCATGCCTAGGCTTCAGGACGACCTTGGAGTCGTTAGGCCCGAATTCAAGGCAGGAGGGGCTCACAGAGAGCGCCTGTAAATCTCCAACTCGCTTAACCGATACCAAAGCCAATAGCAGAGCAGTCTTTAGCAACAGAGGTCAAATATCAGCGGATTGCAGCGGTTCAAAGGGGGGGCCTTTGAGCATCTCAGAACCGTAGACAGATCCCACGTAGGGACCGTAGAAGGGCGAGAGGGGTTCAACCCACCAAAGCATACAAAGAGCTGCTCCGACTGCCTAAAGGAGGCGGAGCGGTCAATGTAGATTTTTAATGCCCTGACAGGACAGAGCAGATTTAGCTCCTGGTCCTCCTGCAAGGGGGGGAGCGCAGAGAGCGTGATTACCTGTGCTCTGAATGGAGTAGAGAGCACTTTAGGTACGTAACCATGCCTAGGCTTCAGGACGACCTTGGAGTCGTTAGGCCCGAATTCAAGGCAGGAGGGGCTCACAGAGAGCGCCTGTAAATCTCCAACTTGCTTAACCGATGCCAAAGCCAATAGCAGAGTGGTCTTTAGTGACAGGGGTCGAATATCAGCTGATTGCAGCAGTTCAAAGGGGGGGCCTTTGAGCGCCCTCAGAACCGTAGACAGATCCCATGTAGGGACCGTAGAAGGGTGAGGGGGGTTCAACCTCCTAGACCCTTTCAAAAATCGAACAACGAGGTTGTTCCTGCCGACTGATATCCCGTCTATAGGAGCATGAAAAGCTGCTATAGCCGCCACATAGACCTTAAGAGTGGAGGGGGTGCGACCCTTATCCAACAGCTCTTGAAGGTAGGACAATATCAAAGATATGTCACATGTGGATGGATCTTCACTGCGGTTTGTACACCAAGCGGTGAAAACCGACCATTTGAGGGCATAGAGGCGCCTTGTGGATGGGGCTCTAGCCTGAGAAATGGTATTTAAGACACCCTCTGGGAGGTTCATAGGCTCCCATCGAGAGGCCATAAGTGTAGGGCCCACAACTTGGGTTGGGGGTGCCATATCGTCATGTTCGCCTGAGAGAGGAGGTCCCGTCTCAGGGGAATGGGCCATGGAGCTGCCGTGAGCAGCTGAGACATCTCTGAGAACCATAGTTGGTTTCTCCAGAGCGGGGCCACTAGAAGAACCTTGTGCCTTTGTTCCCTGATTCGCCTGATGACCTGAGGGATCAGGGCGATCGGGGGAAAAGCGTAAAGGAGAAGGCTGGGCCAATCGTGGGCCAGTGCATCCCTTTTCTTCGAAAAATAGATTGGGCAGTGAGAGTTGTCTTCTGAGGCGAAGAGGTTGACCTCTGCCTTCCCGAAGATCTCCCATATTCTCTGAACCGTCTGGGGGTGAAGCATCCACTCGCCAGAGGGGACGTTGCTCCGAGACAGCATGTCTGCTCCCTGGTTCAGTTTGCCTGGTATGTGCATTGCTTTTAGGGAGCGCAAGTGGCAATGTGCCCACTCCAGTAGGCTCTTTGCCATCCTGAAGAGGCGTGGGGAGGAAAGGCCGCCCTGGCGATTTATGTAGGATACTACCGTCATGTTGTCCGATCGGACTAAGACATGGCATCCTTCTAGATGTGGTAGGAAGGACTGTAAGGCCTGCGGCGGGGGCGCTTTCTGAAAAGAAAGCTATCCGCAAGTGCAAAGAGGCGAGACTCATGCTCTCGCAGTGGGAGCATGACGTCTCAGTGAACGCGGCTTCTGCGTGGGATTTCCCCAGACATCGCACGCATTCACTGTGCCCGTCATCAGCGTGCAGTGGTGTCCTGCACGAGCCACAGCCGTGGCGCGACATTTGCAACAACGTCGCAGGAAATTTGCTCAGAAATTTGCTCTTTTTTGTTACCACAAGCAGTAAAGTGTCACACAGGCGCTCTGCAGACGGCTCGTGAGCGAAGCGCTGACCGGGGCTGCCTTGAGAGCGACGCGGGAACAGAGCTGCTTGAAGCGGCGATCTGATCCGGTGCTGCTTGAAAGCGGCGAGCTGCGAGCGGCGAGCCGTGGGTGGCGAGCTGCAATCGGTGAGCAGAGAGTGGAGGCGGCGAGCTGATCTTGCTGCTGCAGAACGGCGGCTGGATCAGCTTGCAGGCGAAGGCTTCAAATCTCGTAGAATCAGTGAAGAGCAGTAGATGTCGCTGCTGAAGGAGAAAGAATCAGTGATCCTATGCCGAGCACCTGCTTATATAGCCAGATGCCCCGCCCATTTTGGCGGGCACGGGCGCTCTGCTGCGCCGTCATTGGTTCATTTCTGAAACAGTGGCAGTGCAGATGCACAGCTGTGATTGAAAAAAAGGCTTCAGTAAATCGGAGAAAAGGAGTTTCCCGTAGCGTCTAGCGACGCAGTACGAAGTGAAGTATGGTAAGGGAACTGAACATGCGTTTTATTCTACCTTCATGCATTCTTTTTTTTTATTAACACTTGAATGTGGGTAGGTTTTATGAAAAAGCATCATTTTGAACAAATAGCTGAGAAAATGGCGTTTTTGTAAAAGATCGGATGATCAAATCACAGATGAAATCGATCGCTTCCCCAAAACTTCACAGTCCTAAACCACTTCCTGGCTCGACATTTCATTCGGCAATGTTAGGGGCAGGTTTGATTTACATGCTGTTTAATGCTGGTGATCGCGTTTGTTCTTGCTTCGTCATCACTGCGTTTTGATCCACGAATTCAATGCTTTTTCTGAAGATGCGTAATAACGCCTCGCGCCGTAACAGTGAAAACACGCAAAGCCGGAAAATTCCTTCAGTGGCGCGGAAAGAGTTAAAAAAAAACCCGCATGCATCTTTAATAAAACAGTACTGTTAACATGTAGATGTGATCTTTAATTACAGGCACAAACGCATCAACATATAGTCTTACAGACGTACGTTTGTCTGCTCAACACTATCAGTGTTTTTCCACCCTCTGTCTGGGAAACTTGAGAGTTTCTGGAACATTCTGATGCCCTGCTGAGTCTGATTGTCCTTCACTAGCTCTGTACTTTTCCACTGTTTAAAAAAAAAAACCCTTTGACTCTGCAGTGTTACAACATTTTTTTTTTCTTATCTGTCTTGAAATGTGTTTGTGCAAGCCTCATCCTTCACACGGCTCCTGAATCACAGGATATCATGTGTTAAAGACATTACAAATAATGCAGTGAGTTTTTGCACTGCTGATAGGGTTACAAATGCTGCTGAGAAATGAATGTTTTCAGATTATTATACCTCTAATTTTTAGTACCTAGACTACTAGTATTTTCCTTTGCTATAGTAAAAGACATTAAAGCGTACTAATTTAGAGCAATGCATTGAAATTCAGCACTTCTAATGAGTTAGACAAATGCTGCTGAGAAATGAATGGCTTCACCAGCTTTAGAGATTACTCTTTTCTCTCATTATTAATATCTACTAGTGTTTTTACTATGCAAAACAAAATTGCATATAAAAGATATTAAATAATATTAAAATATATGAAAAATATGTACTTTTTTTTTTTTTTGCATGTTATAATATAAGGTTATATTCACACAATCAAGCAGCTGCATTTCTTGTTGCGTCAAATGCAATATTTCATACATGCGCATCTTACAGTCCAGATCCATTCGCTGCGCGCTCGGAATCGTTCGGCCTTTGTGTCGCAGACTCCAGAAGCATCCATCCTCGCGTTTTCATTCACGAGTGGAAAAATACAGAGGGTTTCGGTAACTCCGCCTCTGCAGGATAAAGCGAGAGCGGCGCGCGACGGACCGGCAGACGAAACCGGAGACGCGGAAGGTGACGGACAACCTGTAACCACACTAAACTAGTATTACAGATTACTTCAAGTCTTTTAACATTAAATCTGAAAACTGGAACCTTGCACAATACATTTTCCTTCTGCTCGGAGAATATCATTAAAGGTAGGCTATGTCTGGTGCTGAAGAGTTTTCATAGCCTATATTATTAGTATATTATATTATGCAATAATATATTAAATGCAACTTCACTACACTAGGCTGTCACTAATGCATGTTGCACAGACGACTATATTTGAGTTAAAATGTCTTGCATTAATGTGTTGCAGGTTCATCATCATGCCTGAGAAAGTTCGTATCAACAGCGCCGATGTGAAATACACGGAGAAACACATCGAGTCGCGTTACTGTTACCCCACTGCCTCCGTGCGCAGAGATGGAGACACGTTCACTGTGAGTCTCTGAACCCTTCCAACTCATGCATTTCTGCTTTGTGCATTGCTGAGTGCAATGCAACTTTATTTTTCAGTCTGAATAATAAAGTTGTATTGCATTTTTCTGAATTAGTTGCGTTTACGTTAACATTTTAAAGTACTTTGCATGTATTATGTTAATAAGGTGACGCCCTCCAGCACCGAGTTCACCTTCCGCACCGAGAGGAAGGTGCCTAGGCTGGGTGTGATGCTGGTGGGATGGGGTGGAAATAACGGGACCACGGTCACAGCTGCTGTCCTGGCCAATAAACTGGGTCTGACCTGGAAAACCAAGACCGGCGTTAAGGTACAGAGGCTTGGCTTTTAGCAAAGTGTGTCAATGTTATGAATGTTTATGTTTAATATTATATTGTATGACAAATAATAAGCAGGTGTAGCGTTCAATCCAATAGAAAGCATGCAAAGAGTGCATGTCTGCCTATAATAGTATCAAAATCCACTTTAGGTCACAATCGGATGTTATTACAAGTGTGTTGAGCAGATTCTTAAACAGCTCTGATTGGCCATTGTGTTCACGCGCTCAACAGATATGACTGATTGGCTACAATGATCATATGATACAATGTTTAAGAATCTGCTCAACAGCGCTCAAACTTCTTGTGGGAAAAGCTGGTATTGTCACATTTGTCAAATTTCATGACCGACATTGGTACTTTTGACAACACTACCAATATAATGCATATACATACGAATATATTTTAAATGCACAAAAAGTTCAGACTCATTAGATTAGACGTCAAGTAGCGACTAAATACAGTACCAAAAATTTTCTTAAAATCAAACATTAAAAGTTCTAAATAGCTACTACCTATAAAACACTTTTTATTAATAATAAAACACTTAATACATGTAATATAATATAATAATACATATTTGAATATTATTCTTTTTATTACAAAATATAATATATATAATAATAAATGTATAATGTATTATTATATAATATTGATTTAATATTATTAGTATTATTTACTATTTTTTTAAACGCACAAAAAACAAAAAAAGGTAATATGCTTATTTATTTTGCATGATTATATGAATTTAATTTAGCATAGTTTTAGCATAGAATCATAATTTTTTGTCAAATCCTCTATAAATCAAATAAGATACTTCTGGATAAAACTGATTGGCTACAATGATCATATGATACAATGTTTAAGAATCTGCTCAACAGCGCTCAAACTTCTTGTGGGAAAAGCTGGTATTGTCACATTTGTCAAATTTCATGACCGACATTGGTACTTTTGACAACACTACCAATATAATGCATATACATACGAATATATTTTAAATGCACAAAAAGTTCAGACTCATTAGATTAGACGTCTAGTAGCGACTAAATACAGTACCAAAAATTTTCTTAAAATCAAACATTAAAAGTTCTAAATAGCTACTACCTATAAAACACTTTTTATTAATAATAAAACACTTAATACATGTAATATAATATAATAATACATATTTGAATATTATTCTTTTTATTACAAAATATAATATATATAATAATAAATGTATAATGTATTATTATATAATATTGATTTAATATTATTAGTATTATTTACTATTTTTTTAAATGCACAAAAAACAAAAAAAGGTAATATGCTTATTTATTTTGCATGATTATATGAAAAATACGATTTTTTTTACATTTAATTTAGCATAGTTTTAGCATAGAATCATAATTTTTTGTCAAATCCTCTATAAATCAAATAAGATACTTCTGGATAAACTGAAATGTCTGCTTTTTATCATTTAAATTTTTCCGATTTCAGCCCATCCATTCTTTTGGGATTTGCGTTATAAGTAATTGAAGTAACAGAAATATGTTCTAACAATATTTTGCGAACGTTCCCATTAAGTTATGAAAACATAATTGATTTCGTTTTTTATGTCTTAAAAACATTTCGGTTACACGAACGTTGAGGGAACGTTCCATTTTATTATTTTGCAATCATTATGGGAACGTTACTTTTGAATGTTCTCTGAATGTAGTGACATTTAAAAAACCGATGAACATTCAACTGAAATGTTATAATGTAACAGCATGGACTACGCATAAATAACGTTTTTGTGCTAACGCTTTGAGAACGTCGTTAAAGACCAGATAATGTTGCATAAACATTCTATTAACGTCACTGGAAGAGCGTTAGTTTATAACGTCCAGAGAACCTTTCCAGAACGTTCTGAGAACGCTTCCTGTCAGCTGGGAATCAGCTTGTAATGTCCTCCTTTCAGAAAGCGAATTACTACGGCTCGTTGCTGGAGTCGTCTACGGTGTGTCTGGGATCCGGTCCGGATGGAGAGGTTTACGCTCCCTTCAGAGATCTGCTGCCGATGGTGCATCCCAATGACATCGTGTTTGATGGTAAACGCATCAGCTCTCGTGGATCTGACGCTCTGTTTGTCGTTGTGCAGTAATGACTGAAGCTGTAATATGTGTGCAGGCTGGGATATCTCATCTCTGGACCTCGGCAGAGCCATGGAGCGCGCTCAGGTTCTGGACTGGAGTCTGCAGGAGAAGCTCCGCCCACACATGAGCCAGATCAAACCCAGACCCTCCGTCTACATCCCAGAATTCATTGCTGCTAATCAGGAGCAGCGGGCCGACAACCTCATCAGAGGAAGCAAAGCAGAACAGGTGAAGTACTACTCACAGCTGCACTGCGCATTAAATATATCGTTTACACTGTATAATAAGGTTTCAATCGTTAACATTACTTAACTAAATTACTAAAATTTTCAAATTAATTTTAGTTTTGTGCATTGATGGATACAATGCAACTTTTATTTATTTATTTTTTTCAACTTTTATTTTTTATTTGAGTCTGAATCGTAAAGTTGCATTGAATTTTCTTCTTTTTTGGGTAGTTGAATGCATGCATACAGCGTTTTAAAGTACTTTGCATGTGTAAATAAATTACTAAAATGTTAAAATTATTTTTAGTCTTATGCATTGATGGATGCAATGCAACTTTTAGTTTTTATTTGAGTCTGACTAAATTACTAAAATGTTCAAATTAATTTTAGTTAATAAATAATAAATGGTTTAGAATGATTTTTCATTGTTAGTTCATGTTAACGAATGTTAACAACTGGAACCTTATAATACATTTTTACCATATTTTCTTCAGAGTCAACTATTAGATGTTACAGTAAATAATTACATGACATTATTAAAAATTGTATACAAATTGTAGTGTTTTCTGCACTCATATAATATTTAGTTTAACCTTTTGATTAACGTACATCAGTTTCTGAACCGCAAGCACCTAATTTCATTGATAATTTATTGAAAACAAATTTTTATAGGTTATATTTTTGTGTAATATTTGTGAAATATTGTATATATATTCTGTAACTATATATACTATGACTAAAAATGTATTAATCTTAATGTTAACTTTAACTGAGATTAATAAATTAGTTCAACATTCACTAATACATTGCTAAAATAAAAAATGTATGTTCATATTATTTAATGGACATAAGCTGACGTGAACTTACAATGAACAGTCTTTTGTATTAATTAACGTTAACAAAGATGAATAAATACTGCTCAAAATGCTCATTGTTAATTAATGTTAATGTTTTACAAAATATAATAATGGGACCTTAAAGTGTTAACAGTGTTTTTTATAAATATTTGATATTTTAATATAATATATATTTGATTATATATTACATATTTGATTATATTTTAATATATATTATATATAGAATTTTTATATTTTATATATACATCATATACTGTATATAATATAGAAATATAGAAATATTACAAATATTGTTAACAGTTTATATAGTGCGTGTGTTGAGTAAATGTATAAATCAGGATGTTTTTAAATATTCTAAAATATATATTTGAAATATATATTTAAGAAAATAATTATATATATATATATATATAAATATACATACATTGTAACATCCAAATATAAATATAAAATCTATATAAATAATAAAAAAAAAATATATAGTATGTGTGTGGTGTGTAAATGTATAAATCGGGATGTTTGAAGTGTTCTTGTGTGCTGTTTTAGGTGGATCAGATCCGCAGAGACATCCGTGATTTCAGAAAGAAGAGCGGCGTGGATAAAGTCATCGTTCTCTGGACCGCAAACACGGAGCGATTCTGTGACGTGCTTCCCGGAGTCAACGACACGGCCGAGAACCTGCTCAACAGCATTCAGGTGAGAGTCTGCTGGAGTGCTCCTGTTCTGTCAATTTCAATGTTTCTGGATTCTGTTTTAATGGTTCAATCACACGTTAGTCATCAAAAAGCAAGTCTAGTTCATTGAAATCATGAAACTTATACAATTTAACAACAATTTATTAAAAGTTTAACAAAAATGACATTTTTTAGGGCCCTATGAAATCCGTTTTGTTTTTTTCTCAGATTCCGTTTAATTTTTTTTCCCATTCTGATTTTTCTGGATTCTGTCTTTATGGTTAAATTAAATGTTAATAATCAAAAAAACATTGTCTATTCAATTGAAATCATGAAACGTATACAATTTGACAACAAATTGTATACTTTGTATTAAAAGTTTTGTATTTGTTTTGTATTAAAAGTAAATTGTATTGCTGATTGTATTAAAAGTTTAACAAAAATGACATTTTTTAGGGCCCTATGAAATCTGTTTAATTTTTATTTATTTTTTTCTTCCCAAAGATTGTTTTTACTTTTTTTTCTGGATTAAAACAAAAAATGTATATATATATATATATTTCTGAATTTTTTTTTTTTTTTTTACTTTTCTGGATTCAGTTTTTTTTTTTTCAGTTTTAATTTTTCTGGATTCTTTTTTTTTTTTTCGTTTTAATTTTTTTAATTTTTACGGCCCTACGAAATCCGTTTCATTTTTTCCCCAATTCTTTTTTTTTTCAGTTTCATTTTTTTGGGGGGGATTCAATTTTTTTCCGTTTTTATTATTATTATTATTTTATTCTGTTTTAATGATTAAATGTCAGTAATTCCAAAAGCATGTCTAATAAATTGAAATCATGAAACGTATGCAATTTAACAATTTATTAAAAGTTTTAAAAAATACCAAGACACGTCAGTGTCAGTGTCAGTGTCAGTCAGAGAGGCTTGTATTGATGGTTTCTGTGGTGTTTGTGCCTCAGACGGGGCGTGAAGTCTCTCCCTCCACCATGTTTGCGGTGGCCAGTGTTCTGGAGGGCTGCGCCTACATTAACGGCTCGCCGCAGAACACGTTTGTCCCCGGAGCCGTGGAGCTGGCCCTCCAGCGCGGCGTCTTCATCAGTGGAGACGACTTCAAATCCGGACAGACCAAACTCAAGTCTGTGCTGGTGGACTTCCTGATCAGCGCTGGAATCAAGGTGAGAGAAACACATTAAACATCTGAAACATTACACATGCATTATTTCATTTTAAACAATAAATATAATTTAGGTAACACTTTACAATAAGGACACTTTAGTTAATGCATTAACTAAAGTTAACTAACAAAAAGCAAATCATTTTCCCATATTCATTATTTTTATTTTTTGCATTTTAATTTTGCTGGATTCTGTTTTAATAAGGAAATTAAATGTTAGTAATCAAAAAGCATGTGTAGTTAATTGAAATCATGAAACTTTTACAATTTAACAACTTTATTTAAAGTTTAACATAAAGGACATTTTTAGGGCCCTATAAAATCCATTTAATTTTTTCCCAAATTCTGTTTTATTTTTTGTATTTCTGAAAAGTGGCATATGTATATTCTGGAAAAACATCTAAATAATATTAAATATTAATTTTATTGTGTAAAATATTCTATATTTTATAATATATAAATTATATATTATTATTGTGTTATTTATATTATATTATATTATACATTTTGTATTATGTGAAATATTCTATATTGCATATTATTAAAAAATCAAAATAATATTAATTATTTCTTATATTATTTTATTATATAAAATATTCTATATTTTATCAAATATAAATTATATTTTATTATTGTGTTATTTATATTATATTATATACATTATTATTTATTTTTCACATTTTTCAAATGTATTATGTGAAATATTCTATATTGCATATTATTTTAAAAAATTGGTCATTTTCAGCCAACTTCTATAGTGAGTTATAATCATCTCGGCAACAACGACGGTCTGAATCTGTCGGCGCCGCAGCAGTTTCGCTCTAAAGAAATCTCTAAGAGTAACGTTGTGGATGACATGGTGCAGTCGAACCCCATACTGTACCGACCCGGAGAGAAGCCCGACCACTGCGTGAGTCTGACATTATATTACCAACCCCAGTCTTCTGAACTGTACTGTAGATCAGCTCTGATACCTGAATCAGAAGATTGCTGCGACTGATTCGGTTTGTGGTCTGTCAGAGCAGGTGGTTATTAAATATGTGCCCTATGTGGGCGACAGCAAGCGTGCGATGGATGAGTACACGTCTGAGATCATGATGGGAGGAACAAACACCATCGCTCTGCACAACACCTGTGAGGTGAGATCGTTCAACACATGCAGGACATTCTGTTCTGTCAATTTCAATGTTTCTGGATTCTGTCTTAATGGTTAGACATATACAGCATATACAATTTAACAACAATGTATTAAAAGTTGAACAAAAATGACATTTTTTAGTTTCAGTGTTTCTGGATTCTGTCTTAATGGTTAGACATATACAGCATATACAATTTAACAACAATGTATTAAAAGTTGAACAAAAATGACATTTTTTAGGTCCCAAATTCTGATTATTTTACCTTTTTTATTTGTAACAAATTTTTCTGGATTAAATTAAATTTATATATATATATATATATATATATATGTGTTTTTTTTTGTTTTTTTACTTTTCTGGATTCAGTTTGATTCAAAAATCTTTGGATTCAAAAATCTGAATTCCTTTTCCCCCGCACTTTTCTGGATTCTGTTTTTTTCTTCTTCTCCAATTTAAATTTTTCTGGATTCTGTCTTAACGGTTAAATTAAATGTTAGTAATGAACTAATGATTTAAAGTCTAATTAATTGAAATTATGAATCTTATACAATTTAACAACAATTTATTACAAGCTTAACAAAAATGACCTTTTTAGGGCCCTATGAAATCTGTTTTATTTTTTCCAAAAACCTTTTTTTTTTACTTTTTTTTTTTTTAAACAAATATTTTTCTGGATTATTTTTTTTATATGTTACTGAATTCCTTTTTTTTGTTTTTTTTTTTTACTTTTCTGTATTTGTTGTTGTTGTTGTTGTTGTTTAATATTTCTGAATTCCTTTCTTTTTTTTTTCTGGATTCTGTTTTTTTTTATATGTTACTGAATTCCTTTTTTTTGTTTGTTTTTTTTACTTTTCTGTATTTTTTGTTGTTGTTGTTGTTTAATATTTCTGAATTCCTTTCTTTTTTTTTTCTGGATTCTGTTTTTTTCCCTCCAATGAAAATTTTTCTGGATTCTGTCTTAATGGCTAAATTAAATGTTAGTAATGAAAAAGCAAGTCTAATGAACTGAAATTATGAATCTTATACAATTTGCCTACAATTTATTAAAAGTTTGACCAAAATTTAATTTTTAGGGTCCTATGAAATCCATTTTATTTTTTCCCAATTTTTTCCGTTTCATTTTTTTTTTTGTGATTACATTTTTTCCCGTTTTTATTATTGTTATTATTAATTCTGTTTTAATGATTAAGTGTCAGTAATCCAAAAGAATGTCTAATAAATTGAAATCATTCAACTTGAACAATTTATTAAAAGTTTATGCAAATATTACAAAGATGTCATCACTGTTGGTTTTGTGTGTGTGTGTGTGAGTATTGATTTGAATCTGATATTTATCATGTTTGTATCCTCATCAGTAGTGTTCATGCAGCAGTCAGAGTTTGTATGCATGATGCATCTGTCATGATAACGTGTCTGTGGTCTGCGTGTGTCCAGGACTCTCTGCTGGCCAGTCCCATTATTCTGGATCTGGTGATCCTGACAGAGCTGTGTCAGAGAATCACGTTCTGCACGCAGGACGATCCGGTTTTCCAGGGCTTTCACAGCATCCTCTCGCTGCTGAGCTTCCTCTGCAAAGCTCCTCTCGTGCCGCAGGGGGCGCCGGTGGTCAACGCCTTCTTCCGCCAGCGTGCGTGCATCGAGAACGTCATGAGGTCAGACAGCAGCGTGCATGAGTTTTCTAACAGCACTTGCGTGAGATTGTGCGGTGTTAACTGTATTTGTTTCTGAATCGGCAGAGCGTGCCTCGGCCTGCCGCCGCAGAATCACATGCAGCTGGAGCACAAGATGAAGAGGAGCTTCATGCACTCTGATGGAAACCACATCCTTCATCCCGTCCTCATGAACGGAAAGCTCGAGCATATCAACAGCTATCAGTCTGTAAAATGCATTGACATTAACGGTCATGAGAAGGTTCGACACACAGTCACATAAAAACCTGCAAGCACTCCAAGATTAGCTACACGTTTACTACTGCTTTAAATCCGTTTCAGTCAAACTCAGTTGCTTTATTATGCGAAGCCTTGCTCAGTTTTTGTACTTAACTACTTGTTCTTGTTTAGCCAGTACTGTATCTCTGGATGAAATATTCATCTATGCATTCCCAGCCGTGCAATCTTTTTCCAAGTTTTGTACAGAAATGCACCGAGAAACTAAATGAATTCATTCTTGAACAGTGATAATTGTTGTTGCATTTGGCAAATGTATAAATACAGTTGTGGAGACACTCATAAAAGAATTGATTTAATAAAAATTATCAATTTGAGTCATTCTGGGATGGTTTTTCATTTGTATGTTAGGTGATTATAAATTAATTTAATGGATTTAACAACTATACTTCTTAGTATAGTTGTTAAATCCATTAAATTATTAGTAAAAACATTAAAAAAATAGGATTTTTTAAAATGCTTGAACAACAATATATTATATATTATATCTATCTATCTATATTTATATATTCATATTATATATATATATAGTATTGCATTGCATAGGTACAATATCTGGTTTCAATCAATAAATAATAATTATATATATATATATGAGGTACAATTTCTGGTTGCAAAAAATACATAAATAATAAAATTATATATATATATATATCAGTTTTAATTTGTTAACAATGAAAAAGTATGTCTAATTAATTAAAGCATGAACCTTATTTAATTTAACAACAATTTCTTAAAAGTTTAACAAAAATTAGCCTACATTTTAAGGGCCCAACATGATGAAATAAAGGAACCTGTAGAATACAAAGACACAACACCGAAAGAAATAAAACCAAGTACAGTAGCAAGTTCTTCATGAATACCGAGAGATTAAAAAATGACAGAAATGTTTGGCCTACAAAATGACGTCATCCGGCTGCGTCAGCCGCAGCTGCGCACAAACGCTGGTCAGCTGACCTGCTGCATCATCACGTGTCCATAGCAACTGTGACTGGAATGATATTTTCATGCGCAAACGCGCAGCTGAAGGTCGGGACGATGATTTGACGCGATGGCGGAGAAGCGTCGCGCCGGTGTCGCGATCATGTCCGACTCCAAATCTGCCAAAGCCGCGGGCGATGAGCAGCTGCTGTCGCAGGCCGGGGTCAGCGCGCTGCTCCGGGGGGCTCTGCTCCGGCTGCTGGAGTCCAGGCCGCAGGACCCCGTCGGCTTCCTGGCCGAGCATTTCGCGCATCTGTCGTCGGAGGCTGAAGACGGAGCGTCGGAGCGTCGGAGCGTGAGCCGCGCTCTCTGGCACCTGAGCCTGGCGCATCACTCTCACAGGTCCGCTTTCAGCATTCTCTCTTTGCATGGTTTTTAAACCATACCATATATTTCATTTAGTATTGTTTTACGCTGGGGAGGTGCTTTTTTTGTTTTTATTTTATTATTGCTATTATTTACCCCCTCCCCACCCCACTTTTTAAGCTATGAGAGATTTATTTTCATTTTTGCTTTATTATTATTATTTTATTTTTTTTCATTACAGTTTTTATATTTCATTAATTAAGTAATTAATCTTTAAGCCATGGTGTATATGTTTTAGTGCGATGTTTTTGGATATTTGCAGGCTTTTTTATTTTCGTATTTTTGTTTTATTTTACTGTTGCTATTAATTATAGATTTTAGCCTCGAGAAATTATTTTATATTTTGCTTTTATATTTTACATTATTATTTCATTGCTATTTTTATATTTCATTATTATCTTTTTAAGTAATGGTAGATAATGTTATATTTTATTTTTATCTCTTTTATTTCCTTTTCTAAGCCATTTATTTAGCTTAATTTATTTTATTGTTTTTAAATGTACTTTATTACTTTTTATATTTAATTAATTATCTTTTTAAGCCATAGTGGAGATGTTTTAGTGCCATGTTTTTATAGACATTTACAGGTTTCGTTTTTTCTTAGTTTTTCTTTTTTTTTTTATCGATTTTTTTTAATTTATTTTGTTTATTTTAAATCATAATTTAGATTTGATTTATTATTGTTTTAAACCATTTGGGGGAGTTACTTTTTATCTCTTTTTATTTTATTATTTATTTTATTATTGCTATTATAATATATTTATTGTATTTAAACCATGTTTTATATTTTATTATTATTTCCATTAATCTCTTTCAAGCCATGAGAGGTTTCTGTTTTTTTTTTTCAATATAATATATATTTTTTATTTTTATTTTTTATTTTTATTATTATAATTTTTTTTATTTAATTAATAATACCTCTTACACACTCACACACACACACTCACACACACACTCATACACACACAGACACACTCACACACACACACACACACACACACACATAACCAGTGCAATTCCCTTGTTTTTTTTTTTGTTATTTAGTTCAGATTCAGTTTGAGCTCATGTGGTTCTTATTTTTATTCTCCCCCTGCAGGTCAGCGTTTAACAACAACGTCCGTGTGGCATATGAGCTGCTGACGCAGAGCGTCCCGCGTCGTCTCGGTGCTGGCGGTGTTCGCGGGAGGCTCTACTCAGAGATGCTGCGGTGTTTGTGCAGTGAAGGCGGGCTCTCGGGCTCCACCGCCGCTCCGCTTCTGCGCCGCATCCAGAGCCACGACTACGAGTCCGTGCCCTTCGAGCTCTTCCGGCAGGGCGTCCTGACCTGCGCCGTGTTCGCCGACTACATCCGTAAGTCTCAGTGTCTGTACGCGGCGGTGGCCAGCGCTCCGGACCGTCCCGCTGAGAGGACGCTGTGCCAGGCGGTGCTCTCCACCCTCCGCGAGGCGCTGGAGGCAGCAGGCGGTGCTGACGTGGCGCGATATCTGGAGGCCAGCGCCAAGATCTCTCCCGCCAAAGTGGCTCAGGCTATGGCCGAGGTTCAGCCGCGCGCGCAGCAGCAGGACGGTCCCACGATGGACGCGCAGGAGTTTGAAGACGCCGCCGCCGCGCTCTTCATCGCTCGAGTGCGAACCGTCACCTGAAATCACCAGGAGTTCTGCATGGATCATTATCACTGAGAGCCGAGCATACTGCACAAACAAGAGTATATCAAACGTTACATCTTAAACCGTTGCGTCATATTGCATTCAAGTTTGACCTTTTAGATGTTGTGAAATTGTTGAAACATTGGCGTTTTCTCAAGCCGTTTGACTCACACTGCTGCCTTGTTTTCCAGCACAAATATCTAAATATTCTTCAATCAAGATGCATTTACCAGAGAAGCAAAATGACAAGATATAAAGTCTTGTCTTCTGAAAGAAATGCTCAAAGTTAAGTGAGTTTATGCTTAAAACAAGAAAGTGAGGACAGAAACATAAACTTAATTCAAAGGGAAAACCAGATTATTTTTCTGACCCCATTGGCAGACATTTGCTCTTGTTTTAAGCAGAAACCCGCTTAAGTTGATCATTTTTACCCAGAAAACAATATAATAATAATATTGATTTTTTTAGATATTTGTGCTGGAAAGCAAGACAAAAACCCTAAGTTAGAAAAAAAGTTTTGCAGTTTATGAATATAATAAAGATAATAGCAAATATAATAATTAAATAACAAATAAATACTAGATTTTTACCAGCATCCAATAAGAAACACCTTAACATCGCATCAGCTTCGACAAAATTAACAACAGTTAGCTTCTTTTTGTAAAAGCGTGGCATATTTGTGACGTATTAAAAAGGTTTGAAAAAGTCTTAATTCGTCCTTCCACAAACTAAGGCCTTAAAAAGAGCTTAAATCAGACAGAACATCTTAAATTCATAAAGTCGTGGCATTAAATGTTGCATGAACTGCAGAAACAATGAACATCTTCCTCAGTGTTTTAATCAGTACAGCATCTAAATATCCTTCAATCCAGACGTCTTAAGGATTTTGAGATGCAAAATGAAAATATGAAGTCTTGTATTCTGAGAAATTGAAGAAAATTAAGTAAGTTTATGTTTATAAAACAAGAACGGATATCTGTTTGGATCTTGTTTTAATCATAAACTCATTTTTCACCCATCACATCTCATCACTTTCTCAGAAAACAACACTTCTCATCTTTTGTCATTTTGCATCTCAAGTAAATTCATCTTGATTTATGAGTTTTTAGACATTTGCACTTGAAAACAAGACAAACGTACCGAAGAAGAGCATCACTTTTTTTTTAGAAAATGCATTTAATGTATTATGTATTTATGTTTCATGCACTTCAAATCAAAGTGAAATCATGATTTGACCTCGTTACTGTAGCTGAAGTCTAATTTCAGCACGAGAAACCTCAGTTCAGCAAGTGTTTGTGGTGTATTTCTGTTATAGATGTGCATCTGAAAGCACACCGTTCCCTTTTCAGTTTCACAGATCCTGAGCTCAGCAGGAACCTGCATCCACAACACATTTTACTGTTGCATTTGCAAGCGAATTGCATTTTCAGTTAGAACAAATAGGACATTTTATTGATTTATTTATGCAAACGTGCACGGATGAATCGCTCACAATAAGAAACCTGAATTAAGAAAGAGACTGTAAATGTTGACTGTTGTCTTATTTGCATTAGCAGAGAAATAAAGATATAACAGAGAACCGTCTCATCTTTACAGCTCCGCTTGTACATTTGGAAGCATTTATTTATTTATCTATCAGCTTGATAAAATCATACACAGAACTGGGCTTTTTTTCTTTTTTGCATGTTAAATGTTAATTGTTTAATGAGTATTTCAGATGCTGATGATATAATCACTGATGTTCTTTTACAAGAACAACCTGAAGACTTATTTACAGAAACGTTCATTACAAATGACTTCAGCATAACAACTTGAGTAAACAGTTTAAAAATCTATTATAAAACGGAGAGTTCCGGTGCTTGATTCTGATTGGCTGAGCCGCGTTCAAAGCTGTTGTAAATTACTCTACAAAGTAACACACACCTTTGTTTACGTTTGTCTGTTGCTCGGCAACCACTTTGTTGCAACCACAGACCATTTAATAAAAGCAATAAGTCCCGTGAAGCCGTGGTTTACAGTGAATTTATAACAGCTAAGGGGGTATTAGGCGCTTCGTGTCGTATCTAACAACGCCCCTTAGCTGTTATAAATTCACCGCGGCGTCACGGGGCTTATTGCTTTAATTTGAATAAGAATCAGTATTTGGTGTGTCTGTCTTTAGCTTTAATAAAGGAAATCTGACTGTACAGAGAGTCACATGATCAGTGACACAAGTTTACTTGTTCATTTTATGTCTCAATATTCCTTTTTTTTACATTTTTCAAAATCCTTTTTTTTTTTTATTATTTGCATGTTTAAATTGGAGTTTTTCTTTCTCAAATGTTTTCTTGTGCATTTTGTTTTTGTAATTGTTCATTGATTTACAGGTTTACTTTCCATCCTGTTTTCTGTCTTCTGTAAAATCCCTTAATGTTTTTTTAATGCAGAACAAGAACATTTACATACATTTACATGCATATGCATACAGAGGATTTACACAATGTACTCACTGATACAGTCACAGGGAAATGAACAGAAAGAAACAAATACCAAATAAATTATGCAGGAAATTCATTTTGCCTTTTTTATTTCTTGCATCTTTAAAGTCTCGATATGTTGCATCAGTTGTTGATGTTTTATTGTTTGCCCACTTTTGTTTATAAATATAATGGTATTTTCCATACACAATTAACAAATCATCAACAATTTCCCTCTTATTCGTATATAATAAACATGTATCTTTATATATCTAAATATATCTTATATGGAAACCTGTTTCCACCACAGAATAAAAATACAAAAAAGGTAATGGCAACTTTTGAGCAATTCTGAGCTTATGTCTGAGTATAATTTTTTTTCACTTTTTTTTTTCTTCCAGAAACGTGAGATACAAACTCAGAATTGTGAGATAAAATGCAATTGCATTTTTTTTATTTATTCTGTGTCAGAAAAAGAAAAAAGAGATGTAAACTCAGAATTGGGAGATAAAAAGTCACAATTATGTTATTTTATTACTATATTTATTATTTTTTATTCCGTGGCGGAAACAAACTACCATGATCTTAATATCTTGTATTTACCAAATTTTGAATTTTGTATGTTTAAATAGTAGCTACTTACTATCAATCCAAAAAATAAATAAGGTTACACTTTACTTGAAGGGGTGTGCATAAGACTGACATGACACCTTCATAATCATGACATGACACATGTCATGAATATGAAGGAGGTTTTATGCATGTTTATGACAACTGTCATTAAGTGTCATTCGCTCAGTTATGTCATTTTTAATGCAAAGATGACATTGTTTGAGATGTCTTTGTTATGGGCTATGGTTAGGGGTAAGGGTAGGGGTAGGGTTAGGTTAGGGTTAGGTCAAATAATGTCATATTTGCATTAAAAATGACATAACTGAGCGAATGACACTTAATGACAGTTGTCATAAACATGCATAAAAACCTTCATATTCATGACGTGTGTCATGTCATGATTATGAAGGTGTCATGTCAGTCTTATGCACACCCCGTCAAGTAAAGTGTAACCATAAATAAATAAATAAATTAATGTTTTATGGATTCTTCCTCCAAGTTACAAAACACATACAGTCTCCATGTCTCTAAAAAAAATCTTGATACTAATTATCTCACCGGCTAAATTAAATTAATAACTTAATTGTATAAAAACTCTTAAAGGCACTTCCTTCATGACAACATCCTGCAGGAAGTGACATCATTTATTGGAGGGAAACCAGCAGCACAAACATCAGTGAGTATTATCAAAGCATCTGATGAGTTTTGTGGCTTGTGTTTAATTTAAATCTCCTTAAATAAGCAAAGATGGTGCTAATCATGTCATCGAGCTCTCCAATCGTCTGAAAATGCTTGTTTCTTCACCTCTTGTGAGTCAGAATCATGTATGTCCACAATTAAGTCATGCTCAAACATGATTCGATTGGCATTAGTTCACACATGCATTCATTAAATGCCTCACTTATTGTGGCTGTTAACTGGAAACATGCTCTTTGTTGCTCTGAATGAAGGCGTGTTATCGTGCAAACACTCGTTTTATGATGCACTTACAGACATTTCCCTGCACTGGAGGACTGCCAGAATCAGCACTTTTATTGCACTTGTATCAGCATAAAAACAGAAGCACACTGGTATCCTTTTAAAGAGATTTATTAACAAAAAATAAGATTGGAAATGAGGAACATGCATAAGTTATGAAACCTAATCATGTCTAGTGCATGCAAGAAAGATTGAAACATGAATGAATCTCACATTCTGATGGACTGTTTTCACTCTTTATTATACTTTCATCGCTTGTAGAAATGGGAAGTTACAGGCACGATGGGTTAAAATAAAACTATCCAAAGTTACAGGACAGCAGTTCAAGTCGTTTATGAGCACAAGACTGCGACGAATACTAATGATCAAACAGTTAAAAAAAGTTGCATTAAATCTGTGAATTTTAAACAATGTCAAATGCACAGGTCAAATGTCACCACAAAATCAAAAGGATTTTTAGAAATCAGTCTGGATAAAGTAAATAAATCCTACTTTTAGGTTTTTGCATTGACATAAACCGAACACAAGACATTATTATATTTATTAAATTACTTAAATTATTTAGTGCATTTAAAATTTCTGCGATTTTTAATTTAATTGCAATTTAAGTAATTTATATTTATTTCTATAAACATATATAAACTCATTTAATAAATGATATGAATATAATTAAATTACTTAAATTGTAATTATTTAAATTAATTTAAAATCAGCATATACATATAAACAAATTTATTATATTTTATTTAATAATTAAATATATGTATTATTTACATAATGTATATAAAAGACATTATTTTCATGAGAAGCACACTGTGTGTGTGTGTGTATATATATATATATATATATATATATTTATATAAATATAATTTATTAAATTACTATACAACAGTGTGCTTCTCATGAAAATAATATCTTTTAAAAATCCTAAAAAGCTTAAATTTCTTTGTACAAAAATGTTCAAAAAAAAAAAGTAAAATTTTTAATTTTCACTTTTTTTTTCTTTTGATTTTGGGGTGAAATAAGACCGCTATGCAGCTTCAGAGCCACAAAATCAAAGCAGCTAAAATGTTTTACAGAAACCGTAAAAACGCTCCGGTCTGATTCACTGGAAGGCTTTAATGCTTTAGATAAAAGCTGGATGCTACGAAACCCCTTCAGTGCACTTTGGGTGAAACTATAATGCATAAACCTTTAACAGCACAGTTATAAAAGGCAATAAAGGTGCCGGAATCAGTTTTTAAAAGGCGACCCAGTTCAGTTTGTCCTCATTAACAATGACCTTGATTTTGGGAAGAAACTTTAATTGCATTTGGCTCAAACTCAGCAGACATTCATTACAGTAATATTACGCATTTCCCCCATAACTCACAAAAACAATAAAATAAAAGATGACAGCGGTCAGAATGTACAGTGATGGATACTGGCAGAGAAAGCGGACGACTGCGTGTGTTTATGTGGCCGCAGGAGGCAGCGGAGGAAGACCACTGTTGACCTGAAAACGTGTTTCGTCTGATATCCCATACTGCTCCAGCGGGTCCTACAGGAGATCACAGATTATTAATCTTATATCGATATCTGAGAGGTATCTGTTGCATTAATTAATAGCCATTCCCTCACCTTTCCGGTCAGCCGATGGATTTCTGTGCGATAGTAGATCAGGTTCTTGCGCATGAATTCATAACTGAGAGACAGAAGCAGATTGCAGTTATAAAGCCGGAGACGCACGGCATGATGGGAAACGTCCGCGACACACACCTGGCTTTAACGATGGCATCAATCCACTCGACACACTGTTCCTGAGAATCGCATTCGAACAGATACTTCCTCTCGGCCTCGTCCAGAAATACTAGAAAACAAGAAATATAATGAACAACCGGGGTTATTTTAGTATAATTAATATACTATTATAATTTTTTTTTATTAATATTTTGAATTTGAAGAAATTTTATATTTTCAATTTTATAGTATGTTTAAAGTCATTTTCATTTTTTTGTCTTTTTGTTGGTTTTATTATTATTAAATGTCAAAAGAAACAGTGAGTGACGTCACATTTCTCTCTTAAAGTACTGAAAGTCACATCGAGATACTTTTATAGTTTTTATTAATATTTTTCCATTTAAAGTTTACATTTTTAAAGTAATTTCCTTTGCGATTTTGTTGTATTTTATTTTTCCATATGCATTTAATATTTTAATATAATCTATATAGTTTTTTGTTTCAATTTTAGTTATTTTAATACATCAAGTTAAACTAAATGAAAATGAGAAATGTTTCCTAGGCAACTAGCGGAAGTAAAATAAATTCAGTTTTTATTTTATTTCAGTTAATATTTATTATATTTCAAAAAAATTTTATTTTTATAATTTTAGTTTTAGTAAAAATAACCCTTCTTAAAACATAAGAGCTGATGCTTTAAATTAAAACCAGACATTTTTCTAAATTTTGTTTTTAACATATTTCCATTTTAAAGCTGTTTTTAAGTAATTTCCTTTTTTTTGCAATTTCGTAGTTTTTTTGGCAGTTTTTATTTTTTTTTAATCTATGTAGTTTTTACTTAAATTTTTTTATTTCAGTTTTACTTATCACGTTAAACTAAATAAAATCAGTTTCAGTTTTTTATATTTTATTTTATTTCAGTTAACATTTATTTTATTTCAAATAATAAGTGTTTTTTTTTAGGTTTTAGTTAATGATAATAACCCTTCTTAAAACATAAGAGCTGATGCTTTAAATTAAAACCAGACATTTTTAAAATTTTGTTTTTAACATATTTCTATTTTAAAGCCGTTTTTAAGTAATTTCCCTTTTTTTGCAATTTCGTAGTTTTTTTGTCAGTTTTATTATTTTTTTATTTTATTTTTTTTAAATATGTCTATGTAGTTTTTACTTCAAAATTTGTATTTCAGTTTTATTTATTTTAGTACATATACTAAACTAAACTAAATAAAATCAGTTTCAGTTTTTTATATTTTATTTTATTTCAGTTAATATTTATTTCAAATAATAAAAGTGTCTTTTTTTTTGGGTTTTAGTTAATGATAATAGCCCTTCTTAAAACATAAGAGCCGATGCTTTAAATGAAAACCACAGACATGAAATGTTTTGGATCATTTATTTTCTATATTTCTACACTGTTGAGCTGTTAGTGTGTCTGAAGCTGCTCTTACCGATGGAGAAAACCTGATCGTCTTCTCTCTCCACGCGACACTGTTCCAGCAGCAGAGCGCCGATGGGCTGAAAACACAAGCGAATCAAACTCAAACGATCAACGATGCTGTTGAGATCCAGATCAGACGCTGCTTCACACTCACCTCGTCCTCATCGGTCCGAAAGTAAAACAGGAAATTAACGATCAGCTTCACTACACGCCTCTTCACAACTGTTGTGGGAAATACAGGAGAAATAGAAGTCAAACTCTATTGAGCCGCGTCTCCACACAGCAAAACCAGATCAGTCCAGTCTAGTGAGGCGCAGTCACTAGGTATTTTTTTAAATCTTACCTAAAAACATTTTATTTTTAGATCGCCTTTTAGTTGCTTTAGCGCACATTTAGTGAATATAATGCATTTTTATTCTCTGTTGGTTTATGTATTTTTATTACTTTGTATTGTACATGTTGTTT